CACTGTGAGCAAACGGGGGTCTGAGATGTGGCTCAGTTGGTAGCATGCCTGTCTAGCAGGCACGTGGCTTCAAGTCCTGTCTCAAGCACCGTATAGACTGGGCATAAGCAGGGTGGTGGTAGTGCTCACCTTTAATCCCAGCAGAGGCAAGAGGATCTCTGTGAGTTCGAGGCCAGCCTGCCCTACAGAGCTAGTTCCAGAACAGCCAGGGCTACACAGAGAAACCCTGTCTCAAAAAAATGAAAGCAAAAACAAAACAACAATCAAAAAGATTAAACTGGACACGGTGGTGCACATCTGTAACCCCAGCACTTCAGAGGTGGAGGCAAGGGGAACTCAAGGTCATTCTTGTCTACTTAGCAAACTCCAGGCTAGCATCACTCACGCACGCACGCACGCACGCATGCGCACACGATGAGCTGGTTAGTTTTTTTGGTCAACTTTACACAAATTAGTCCTCTTGGAAAAGGGGCCCTCAACTGAGGAATCATCTCTATCAGACTGGCCTGTAGGCAAGTCTGCGGGACATTTTCTTGACTAATGATTGATGTGGGAGGGCCCAGCCCACCTCAGGTGGTGCCAGCCCTGGGCAGATGCTCCTGGGTTGTATAACAAAGCAGGCTGAGGAAGCCATGCGAGCATGCCAACAAGCGGTGCTCCTCCAAGGTTCTGCTTCATTTCCTTACCTTGGCTTCCCTCGATGATGGACTGTGACCTGTAAGCTGAGACAAAACATTTTCTCCCCAAATTGCTTCTGGTCAGTGTTTGATCACAGCAACAGAGAGAAAACCAGGACAGAGAGTGAACAAAGAGATGTTATAAAATGAGAAAAGGTCAAGTATAAGAGGATACACACATATATTTATATGTATATATATATATATTTATATGTATGTATATATATTTATATGTATATACATATATTGGTGGGAGGAGAGACATTGGTCACATGTTCTTTTTTAGTGTAGTGGGGAAGGAGAGACAGACAATGACACAGACTCACAGATACACCATGTGGGGGGGATGGGAAGGAGAAGGGAGGGGGAATTTGTGTTCCTAGGACGACTCCAGGAATGTGTTCTCTCCCTCCACCATGGGTTCTGGGGCTCAAACCCAGGTTATTGGGCTCACATGGCAAGTGCCTTTACCCACTGAGCCATCTCCCTGGCTCACTGGCCACAGCAACTCTAAATACAAAAGGACACACTGGCCAGGTGGATCTCTTTACCTCAACAATAAGATACATGCTGGCTGTGGTGGGGCACATCTTTACTTCCAGCTCTCAGGAGACAGAGATAGGCAAATCTCTATGAGTTCAAGGCAAGCCTGGTCTACATAGAGAGTTCCAGGCCAGCCAGAACTACACAGAGGGATCCTGTGCTGTTTGAATAAGAATAGCTCTCATAGCTGGCAGTGGTGGCGCACACCTTTAATCCCAGCACTCGGGAGGCAGAGGCAGGTGGATCTCTGTGAATTCAAGGCCAGCCTGGTCTACAGGACAGCCAGGGCTATACATAGAAACTCTGTCTTGAAAAAAAAAGTTTTTCCTTTTATTTTATTTTATTTTTTATGTTTTTGGGCATTTTGCCTGCATGCATATATGTGCACCACATGCATGCAATACTCTGAGGGGCCAGAAGAGGGCATCTGATTCCCTGAAACTGGAGGAGTTGTGAGCTGCCAGGTGGGTGCTGGGAGTTGAACCTGGGTGCTCTGAAAAAGTGCTCTTAACCTCGGAGCCACCTCTCCAGAGCCCTGCACTTTGGGTTTTGAATGAGTGCAATTATTAAATGTATAGCAAGCACAACTAGAAAGACAGACGGGAAGCAGTAGAGAGGAAAGATCCTCATGTCGGGCGCTCAGCACATCCAACAGAGGTGACTGGAGTAGACTGATAGACAGTACAAGATGAGGTAACTTCATCAAACTGGGGGGCTCACAACATCCAGTCGGAATCCACAGGGGAAGTCGAGCTGGTCTGCCGGGGGTTCCCAATTGAGCTTTCTTTCCATGGATACGCTTCTGGCCTCTTGCTCCCAACACAGTCATTTTCATGACACAATTCTACTGGAAAGAATTTATATTCTAGCTATTCTCAGGGTGCAGATTTTTTTTTTTGTGTGTGTGTGTGTGTATGGGGCATGGGGAGGTAAGCATGTGCCGTGTCATGGTGTGGAGGTCAGAGGACAACTTTCAGGAGTCAGGTCCCTCCTTCCACCATGTAGATCCTGGGGATTGAACTCAGACTGTCAGACTTGGCAGGCAGCATGTCCTTTTACCTACTGAGCCATCCAGCTGCTCATGTGGGCAGTTTTTTTAATATCCTTCTCCTTATTATGGAGCCAGAAAGCCACCGTGACCCAGGACAGTGGGTTTTGGAGGTGACAACAGGGGCCTCCACACTCCCAGAGTCTGCTTTGTACAAGCTTACAGCACATGAGTTTGCTGATATGAGCCCTGCATTGGGCTATTAATCCACATGCCGGGAAGGTACAGTGCCGGTGCAGCTGTATGTGGTGACGGGAGCTGGAACACTGCTTTCTCACTTGGTGGTTGCTGAGGCAGACAGGGCTGGGAGCAGCCACACTGGCCTCTCCCTCAGGGACCCACTCCCTCCACCAAGGCCCCACCCACCTCCTGAGAGTTCCACAACCTCCCAAAACAGCGCCGCCATCTGGGCACCAAGTGTCCAAACACAGGAGCCTATGGGGGAACTTTTTACATCCAAACCTTAACAGTACATATAGAAGGAAAAAATAAACCTACCTATAGGACTTTACACTATCTATGCTCTATTTTGGACATCTATTCAGGGGTCTTGTATATATCTATATGGGTAAGGGGGAAATGACCCCAGTACTTTATCTGCACAGTCAAGGGACCACCAAGAGACAAAAATTAGAATAAGGGATGGAGATGTGGCTAACTGGTTAGAGCACCTACAGCTCTCCCAGAAGACCTGGGTTTGGACCCTGGCATGCACCCCAGGTGGCTCATAATTGTCTGTAACTCCAGTTCCAGGAGGTCTAATGCCCCCTCCTGGCCTCTGAAGGCACCTGCAGGCATGTGATGCACATACAGACAAGCAGACACACACACATGCATATAAAATAAAAATATAAATATAAATGTAAAGAGAACAGACAAAGTGAGGTAAGTCAGCACGACTTCAAACGAGCTCAATCCAGTCCTTGCTAATGATGGCAGCCTCGCTTCCCGGTGCGGTTATTTATGACACCCTCGGGAGTTGAGTAACTGCCAATTATTATTGCAGAGAGCAGGTAAAGCATCTTAAAGGAGTTTTATGCCTCTCCCGTGAAGGGGAGCATCAGGCAAATGGGGAGGAATGGGCCTCTGTGAATGGGACGCTCAATCTCAATGTGTGCACAGCACAGAAGGATGCACCCTGCAATGCCTGCCCTGCTTCCCGGGGTTAGGGAGGCGGGTGCCTGCCACCCACTCAACTCTGAAGTGAAGCGGGTGTAATGACTCATTTATCTCATTTGTGCCTGTTTTTATTGAGCGTCCTGCTCCCTCCACCTGGATCTGTTTGCATCTGGTAGACGTGACGCCACGTCTTCTTAGGCATCCTGGCATCTTCTGTCCTTCTCCCCCGCCTGGACTTAACAGAAATGGATTTCAGTCCCAGGGGTTCTAATGAGTGTTCCGTGCAGCTGAGGGGAGGCAATGGGCACGGGGAGCCAGGGACAGCCAATGTGACCGACACCAAGGGAGCAGGGGCACTCGGGAGGCAAGAGTTAAGTGTCAGCAGCACACGGAGGGTTGCTGTGTAGGTGATAAGGAAACACATTGTGTCCGAATTGATTCAGGCAGATGATGGTCTGTTTCAGAAACCTGAACCAGAAATGTCAGTACCAGGGAAGCCATGGAGTTCAATTCTCCATCACTGACGATGGCAGCCATCACCTGCATCCACCCTGCCTGGAGTTGGCTACACAGCAAATAACAGTTCTGACAGGCTTTGTCCCTTCACATTTGGCTAAGGGGCATAAAATTCCAGCCTGGGCCTACTACCAGTAGATCACTTGCCTCAATCCCCCAAGTGAGGGGCTGGAGGTGT